CTTATTGTTGGTTGTGAGTGGATAAGGAGTTAGCAAGTCTTATTGTTAGTCTTGAGTAGATTCCCAATGTAGCCAGGATCTCTGTAATTTAAAGGGAGTCTTTAAGTCTTCAGCTTGGCTAAAGAAGCATGTTTGGTGGTTTATGGAGATAGGCTTGAGGCCCAAGAGCCCTTAAGTGGTAAATTTAAGTGGTAAGTTTTAAGCTGTGGCTGGTAGGGTCAAGGAATCATGGCTGTTGTTGTCAGCCTTTGCCTTGGGTAAGGACTGTGAGTGTTTATCTGGTAGGATTGTGTAGACTGAGTTCAGGTGCTAGGACAGAGTTGAGGCGTCAGAAGAACTAAGATCAGCATTTTTCAATCTTAAATTGAAGGTGTGCGGACTGCAAATCCCAGAATTCTCCAGCCAGTCGGTTTGGGGAATTCTGGGGGTTGATATCCACACATCTTGCTAAGGCAGAGGTCTCCAAACCTAGCAACTTTAAGACTTGTGGACTTCAACTCCCAGAGTTGAAGTCCACAAGTCTTAAAGTTGCCAAGTTTGAGTACCTGTATGCTAAGGTATGGGAAACCTTGATCTACGAGGGTCATGTATACCCCCCCCTCCAAGTAGGTCTGGACTTGAACTCTTGCTTTCAGAAAGCCAATTGGCTTTTGGGAGGGTGGACTTCAACTCCCAGAATTCTGCAGGAGGATTTAAGAATTGTGGGAGCTGTAATCCATCAGTTTGAAGATGCAACTTTCAAATGGGAGGGTTTTCAGCTGCCAGGATTCTTAGCAATGGTGGCTAGATAAGCTTAAGGTGTCCCCTTTTCCCCCAAGACACCAGATTGACTGCCATTCAATTTCTGGTGTTCTCCAGCACACAGACTGGAGAATTCAGGGAATTGAAGTTCACCAAACTGGGAAGATGGAAGTCCCATGTTCTCAAGGTGGATTTGGTGTTAAAAACTATCACTCTAAAAATTCCCAGAGCTCAGCAACAGGGGTGTCGCATTAAGGGAATCAAAGTTAGCGCCCCAATTCCAGATGGAAAGTCAACAGATGCACTCCAGACTTCTCCAGCTTATTTTCTATATTCTGGGAACTTAAATCCAAGTTTAGTCACTGGAGAATTGTGGGAAATGGAGTCCATCCATTTGGGGGTCTTGGGTGATATGGGGATGTCTTTTTTCTCCCAGAGCTTAGGGGGCTGAGATCCGCATAACTCGGATGCACAGAATTGGGGCTCCCCAGGATTCAGAGGGCTAAGGCTGCAGAATTGTGGGAATTGAGGTTTCTTGACTTAATCTTCCCCCTTCCCCAATGGGTGCACCTCAACTCTTGAGATCTTCCCTTGTTTTAGGGTCTTCAGGGGTTCTCGGCCTTGGCAAACTTAAGGCGGGTGGACTCCGGCTCTAGTTAGAAGCCTGCACAACTTAATCTTGCCAAAGTTGAAAACTCTTTATGATGCAGGGTCTTAGTTTTGATTCATTGAGTGTCATGCATGTTCCCTCCCCCAATCTTCCCGGCACCTAGGCAGGTGAGCCCGAAAACCCAGGTGTGTCTTGAGGCAAGTCTGCAGTTCCTCCCCTTGTTCTAAGCAGGTGTGCACAATTTATTCCAAATCTTGGAGTTAATTTCAAATAATATACATTTGTGCATGCCTACTTATAGCAATGGGTGCACAGAGAAAATCTCTGCATGGTGGGTCACCCTCAGGAGTGGGGGGGAAAGGCCAGGAGCCAGCCATGGCATCAGGGAGGCTGGCAGGGAGGCCCTAGGAAGGTCTGGGGCATCCAAGCCCCCCAGGGGCAGCCCTGGGCAACCCCAGAGCCTCTCTTGCCAGCTTCTCTTGTGCCACGGTTGAAGCTGAGGGTTGGTGGGGGGCTGGGGGAGGCCGAGAGATGGGGCTGGGGTGCAGGTGGGCTGGGCAGAGAGCGGCTGCCCAATGTCCTTGGCTCTCAGGGTGGCAGTTTGGCCATTCCAAGCCAAGGGACACTGGGCAACCGTTCTCTGGCCCATCACACCCACCCCATGTCCCATGGGCCTCCCTCAGTCACCATCAATGCCTTTGGCTTCAATCCTGGCCTAAAAGGGGTCTGGGGGAGGAGGGGGGGCCATGGGAGGAGGGGGGAAAGAAACCCCCCCCTTCCTAGGACCTCCCTCCCCCTGGGCCCCCTTTAAGCCAGGACTGAAGCCAAAGGTGGGGGGGTTGGGGGGGCAGGTGGGGGGGATGGGAATCAGAGGGGGAGAGTATTGCTTGTTTTTTTGAATTCTAATAAAGATTGTCTCTTCTGCCATCCTGTGTTGTTTTTTTTCCTAACCCTCTTTCCCCCCATCCCTCCTACACCCCCTCCCTTCCCCCTCCATTTCCCTCCCTCCTCTGACCCCTCCCATCTGTGGCCCCAAGGGGGAGACCAGGGAGGGGCAGACCCTGGGTGCCCCCCCCCAGGTCTACTGGGCTGAGAGGCCCCTCCCCATCTTCCCAGGGCTTTCCTCTTCTCCCCCTCCCCCCCCCCAAGGAGGGCTGCTGGAGGAGGTGGGCAAGGCAGGCCCTGGAAGGACATCAGAGGCAGGCTGGGGAGGGGCTCCTTGCCCACCTCCTCTTCCCAGCCCCCTTGGTGCCATGCTGGCAGAGACTCGGCAGGGAAAGGGAGGCCCAGAGAGGGGGGGGGATTGGCAGGCTCTCCCTGGCTTTTCAAGGGAGGCCTTTGCCCCTGGCCTGCCAATGTCCCCACCCTCCAGCCCAGGACCTCCCATTCCCCCCCATTGCCTGGCACCAGGGGAGCTGGGAAGGGAAGAGGAGGGGCGTTGCCAAGGAGCCCCTCCCCAGCCAGCCTCTAGCATCCTCCCAAGTGCCTTCCTCTCCCCACCTCCACTCAGCCCCCAGCAGCCCTCCTGGGGCAGAAGAGGGGAGGAGGAAGAGGTGATGGCCCTGGGAAGATGGCAGGGGCCACCCCAACCCTGCAGACCTGGAAGGGGGGCACCCAGGGCCTGCCCCTCCCTACCTCGGTCCCCCCCTTGAGGCCAAAGATGGGGGGGGGCAAGAGGAGGGAGGGAAATGCAGGCGCTGGGAAGATGGGGGCTGCAGGCAGGCCAGCTCTTGGGGGGCTCTTGCCAACTCACTCTGGCTAAGGCCTGCCTGCCTCCCCCATCTTCCCAGCACCTGTGCCCTCCACTTACCTGTTCTTACCTGTTCTCACCTGTCCTCGTCGCCATCTGGTGGTTCCCACAACTGGTTGCACTTTTATTTCATACTTACCCCTTTGCTCTAAGCTGGCTGATTAGGCCAGGCTGGACTCCCAACTCCCAGAATTCCCCAGCCAGCATGCTATGCTATTTCTATTTCTACTCCAACCTTCCAGATGGCCGTGGAGTGGAGACAGCTGGCTACTTAAGCCTCCTTTGGACTTTCCAGGGACACAGGCTGCTCTCTCTCTCCTGCCTTTGCCACCAGAAGGGGGCCGTTGGCACTTCAAATTCATTTTAAAATTTCAAAGTTAAGAGGCTGCCTCTCATATCATAGAAAGGCGACTTCCTCTCGGGACGAGAGGCAAAATGGTGAAAAAGAGCATGTAAACATAGTGTCTAGTTGGAAAAAAATATCCCTACCTGTTTGTACAGGAAGGATCGGCTTACAAACTCTAGTTCCCAAAACTTCAGGTTGCTGGGGGTGGAAAAAAACACAATGGACACAAAGGCAACATTAAAATCTATAGAAAGACGCTGATTTACTATTTATTTGTTAATTTTCTGTGTTGCCCATCCTCTCTACAAGGCGACTCCTTTTCTGTCCTTCCCTGGATCAGTGCAGGTTATCTGCTCAGGAATAGATCCTCTGTGGACAGAAGCAATCTACCTCTCAATGCAACGAGGAAGAATAATCTGGAATTTAACCCAAAGCCTCTATAAAATTGGGAAGAGGTGGTTGGATTCAGGAGATTCCCAAGTCTGCCTGTCTTTTCACCTGTCAAGGAGTCTGCATTTATCTACAGATTGGGACTTCCTAGTCAAAACCAGGAAATCTTTTCCTTTTCCTTTCCTTTTCCTCTCCAGACAGGACTAATGGAGAATTGTAGTTCTGCAACCACGGGTTTCCTTTCTGGAGCAAACTGAAAACTTGCTGTGCTGGGATCCAGTCTCAAGCCTGCTTCAGAAATGTTTTACTAAGGCAGGGGAGAGATTTCAGGAAATGGCCTCTGAAATAATCTTCAGGTCTAGGAACCTGATTTCTTTTTAAGGCCCCCTCCGTTTTTCATCATTTCAGCAACAGGACAAAAGGGGGATTTTGTAACACAATTCGGAAACGGGTGTGTGAAAATGTAAGTTATAATTATGTACCAATGTTGTAATCTGGAATCATGTTGCTCACATGAAGAGAGATGTAAAAAACAAAAATGAAAAGCTTTTATTCAAAAGAAAAAAGAAACGTGTGTGTGTGTGTGTGTGAAATCTTATCTTCTGCCTCCGTTTACCTCCTCGAACTCTTCCCTAACACCATTTTTTAAAATGCTGAGTGGATCCTTTTTTCAGACCGACTCGAACCTCGGCTGGAGCCCCTTCGACTGCAGCAACCATCAGCAAAACATTCCCACCCAAATTCCCCTTCAAGGTCGTGGTGGGTTAATCCATAAGGGCTAAGAGGAGACCCCGTGTGGAGGGGCAGTCTACCTGGGACTGCCCTGCTGCTGCTGCTGTTGGTTTGCCTTACGGCGCGCAGCCAGAGCGAAACCGGCATTAGAAGAAACTTTGGTTTGATGATGAATTAATTCCCTGCTGACAATTTCTGAGCGGAGGCCGGGCAAAAGCGTCCGTGGGTGGAGATGCCTCAGCAGAGATAAACTGCCAACCCCGGAGAGAGAGAGAGATGGATCCGGGTAGGAAAAACTCATGGATCCAACCACGAGGACCTTTTTCTTCCCGGATCACGTGGAAATGCCTCCCTCAGTCACCAGGTGTCCCTCCTCCCACCACCTGTCAGGCTGAAGCAGCCCTGAAGGGAAGCT